GGGGGGGGGGCTCAAATTCAGTGAGTTTTCCTAGTTATATAATTTTCTTTTTGTCTTTGCTTCTCTTTATGTTTTCTGATTTTGCTAAGATGATATCCAGGAACTATTCTTTAAATTTGAATCATAATTTCAAACTACCCCCATGAAAAACTGCAGAAATGAATTTCCAGCCTTGTTTGTCTATTACAAGTATAATTTATTCCAGCACTTGGGAGGCTGAGGCTATAGAATCGCTGTTAGTCCACGGCCAGCCTGGGCTACATAATGAGTTTAAGGCCAGTTTGAACTACATTTATGGTGAGACCCTGTCTCAAAAAACCAAAATAAATAAATCATGATAGTCATTTGACCACTTCTTTATTATAAATGACTGAACAAGAATAAATAATTTAATTTTGGGGCCATGTATTGTGTTCAAAGCATTTTGTTAGGTGCTGCAGATACAAAGATAAACTATAACAAAAACTCAGATGTTAGAGAATGGCAAGCTGCAGTATTTAATTACTATAGGAATTGAGCCAAAAAAGATATGCATCTGAGTTAAACTTGAAAGTACTAGTTGTGTGTAAGTAAGCCTTGGAACACTAGAACATGAAGACTAGAATTTGAAAGTCTTTCACTATTTCTAACTTGATTCACTTAAGCACTCTTTTTTTCCTTTTTGTACTGAGGGATTTGCCACTCATAGTCTTAGATTCAGAGTAATAGCCATCTTGGAAACATGACTATGTAATAAGGAGCTATGATATTATTGGCTCCAGTTTTGTTTGAAAGAAAGTAGTGTGTTTTCTTTTTTCTAATACCAATTTACATGAAATGAAGTATCCCTTGCTAAATTTACTTGGATCCTTGAAATAATTGATAATTATAGTCATGAAAATTTTAAGTTGGAAATAAAGAGCAGTTAAGTTTCCTACACTATAAATGTGACTGAGTACAGTATTTGGGATAGAATTTTTTAAAAAAACAACAAACCACTAGTGTGTTTGCGGCCTGCATTTGAGTATTGCTTGGGATCAATCTCCTTGGTCTGTTGACCCTTTTTAATGGGATAAAAATTATATTTGTAAATCTAATTAAAATTCTAGATAGTAATAAACATGACAGTATATTATCAGAAAACTAAATTAAAATTTTAAGCTAAACATTTATTTTTTAGCTTGTCATTACAAAATAATTTTTTTAAATGTTCTCAAAGCCAGTATTTATTTCAAAAGAAAAAACTTTAGTCATTGAGAAGGTAAGTTTGAAATAGTGCTATAACTTGTTAACACATTCAAGTTTTATTGGTGTTCAGGATTTTTGAGTAGGATAACTAGGAAAAACATTA